CACACACATTCTGAAGATCATCGATCCTCCTCCTCGTCGTCCTCCTCCTCCTCTTCCTCCTCGTCCTCATCGTGCTGTTCCCCCTCGCCGTTCTGGTGAGCGCGCTCCTCGCGACCCCCTCTCTGCAGCATCCTGGCCTCGGCCCACGTGGTGGGCCGTGCTTCTGTGTTTCACTGCCAATGCTGTCGTGGATCGTGATGGTGAGGACTTTGATTCGCACATGCGGTTGGTTTTCTCTTTTAAGCCGCACCAGGTACACACCCCACCAGGCTTCCTTACTCTGGCATCCAGGCTGCCTCACGATGGCATCCCATGATACGCCAAGCATTGCGGCAGTTTGTGTTGGAGGCCCTGCTGGATGACCGCCAGCTTTGGTGCGCATGCATCCCTGCAGGGGAGCGCCTGCGACGAAAATGAGTGGCACTCTTCCTTCTGCTACTGCTGTTCTTCGTTTTGATCGTCTGTCCTCACCTTCCTCCTCCTCATCCTCCTCATCATCTTGTTTCTCGTGTGCATCCTCATCGTGCCCGTCATCGTCGCCATCATCTTGCGCGTGTCGCCATCAGTTTACACAAATCATCCTCGAACATTCCATTCCATGGGTTTACTCTGGTCCTCCTCCTGTCATCTTCCTCGCCATCCCCTGGTCCTTACCTATGTCTTCCACCTGCTCCTCTTTCCTTTCTTCCTCATCACGTTCCAGGCCCAAAGTGGAGCAGTCAGTCCTCAACTTCCTCCTCCTCATCCTTCTCCTCCTCTTCCTCCTCCTCCTCACCACCACAAGCACCAGCATCAGCGGAGGATTCCTGCTTTGCCATGCTCTGTCAACAGGCCTCCGTGAGCTAGGATATGACCCATGGCAGCATCAGCATCATCATACACACCCCAGCACAGCACCCCCAATGGCAGCAAAGGTGAAGAGGCGGGTCGAGGAGCAGGAGATGGGCAGGCGAAAACGGGCAGTCCTGGGCATTCTCTGAATTCGGGGCTTCTTGGGCGTGGCGGAGGTGTGAGCACCGGCCGTGGGCACCGTACAGGCGCCGTGCCTCTTTTGACACCGGGGGCGGCAGGGCCACGTGCACCGCAGCGTCCCCTGCTGCAGGGGAGCGCGGCCGCGCGGCCGGGGCGAGAGCACGGCCGTGCGCACCGCAGTGCAGCTTCTCACAGGGGATCGTGGCCGTCCGGACGAAGCGTGCAGTCTGCACTGGAGGCGGGCGCACGGTTCCTGAATGCGGGGAACGAAAAGTGGCATAAACATAAAAGCTCGGAGATCCGCGCGGATTTCTCGGATCGGCGCTGGAGCCCCCCGGCGGCGCCTCCGGCGCCGCGCTTGGCGCGCTCCGCGCGCCAGGGAGGGGGGTCCAGCGCCGATCCGAGAAATCCGCGCGGACCTTCGAGTTTTCATGTTTATGCCACTTTTTGTTCCCCTATGAATACATCGTGGGGGAGTCTCAGGGCGAAACGGTTGCCAGCACGGGCGTTCTCGGGCTCCCCGTCCCCCTTTGTGGGGCTCTTCAGGTCTTGTCGCCACCGTCGGAGTCCTTTGACGAGACGCTCTTAGGGAACAGTAGTACGACGAATCATATTGCCATTGTCATGGTTTTTCTCCTGCTCCTCCTGCTGATCCGACTCCTCCCCAACCTCATTCTGCTCCCCCTGCTGCTCGTCGCCCCACCCCCCCCCCCCCCCCCGAGAGGCCAAAAGGCTGATTCTCGAGGCCCGCGAGCTCCAGGAGCGGGTGGCCGGGAAGCGGGAGGAGGCGTTGCGACGGGCCGCCGTCCTTCCCTTCCTCCTCGGCCGCTCGTTGCGGGAACAGTCACGGCAGACGGTCGTTGGAATTCTTCGCCGTCCGTGGGGGCCGTCCAGGGACAGCTCGGGGTGAAAGAGCGGTCCCGGGGAGGGGGTCTAGACTTTTGGAGATCGACGTTGCGAAACAGTCACGAACATCCCCTCGTCCTAAACTCTCGATCGAATGAACTTCAAAACTGGTTGGCGCGGCACTTCAATGCTGCCCCCTTTCACCCAGTCTATGGCACCCCCTTCGATGTCGAAGCAGAGCGAATCGCAGTCTGGGCGGGTGCGACTCAGAGGTTCCGCGGTTACCGACATTGGAGGGGGGGCGCCAGCAACTACCTTGCGCGCGCGGCAAGGAAATTGCGTGACAGATGCTTGAGGTTAAGTTTGTCGACGGTAGTACCTCGTTCTCCCGCCTAGTCTTCTCTCCTCCCCCCCGTCCTCCTCCTCCCTCCTCTTCCCTCCTGGTTCCTTCGCCCTCGATCCTCGTCCCTCTCTCCTCACGCGCTGCTCGGCCTTCGAAAGCTTTATGAGCAGACCGGGCCGCAGAAGAGCATGGTTTCCACCTGTGTTTCTTGCGCGTGTTGTGCCTGGCGAGCGCGGCAGAACGTCTGTTGCAGTACGGGGGCTGTGTGTTTAGAGCGTTACGGGCCAATGGAGGGTTGCCTCAGTCTGGGAGGTGCTTCCGAAGTTTGGAGGTAGCAGC